TAAGACTCTTATACACAAGAGCTCGCTGTAAGGGGTGAGACATGCTACAACCGGGATTAAATTTATGAACCACGGAGAAAGTTGATCGTTAAAGAGGTGAACCATTCATGAAAGATTCAGACGTCAAATGTGGGGGACGGGAAATGAAAAGGCATAATGAGGAAAACCTAAGGGAGAGTCCACTTTTTCTAGAATAAATTTGCATTTATGCTGGTATACAAGAACCCATCTGAGATAGCTACCGAAACAGTGCGAGAGTAGTGGCGAGGAACGACACTATCACATGGTTGTTTGTAACCATGATGGCTGGGAACCAGGAACTTATTGGAAAGAAGCGTGGTGATGAAACAGGAGGGAAGGGATCAATAACACTGGACTGAGGCTTTATTCAAGATGACATAAATCACCAGGCCACGGACAAATCGTACGACCTACCACGCCGGTAAAATTCGATACCAAAATACCACCGATCAACAGACCTTGGTTATCCATGGTTTTCTTATTTGGCAAAATCGGTACTGCACAGTGACCCGTAGAGTTCCAGTGGAAGCTAATAGTTATAGTCATTAAAGAGGATATCCAATTTACGAGTCGAGAACTTCCATGACTTAAGCGGAGGGGCTCGCGGTAAGCTAACAACAACGGGTCACATGAAGTGTACAAACAGGACCAAAACGGTCAAGTAATATTTACTGTATCTGATGAACAGAGATTACGACAAATGTCTGAGCTTTCCTGGTATCAACCATATTTTTCTCAGTTAAACTAACACGTTGGTATTCCCTGAAACCTCACCCCGGTTAGTGTTGTAATTGTTACATGAGCAATGAACATGGTTAAGAAGACTTAACTCCAACAGTGAAAATGCTCTTCAGAAGCTCTTTTGGTCTGCTGGTCGGAAGTTTTTACTAATACTAATGAGGAACTGAGGGGAAAACCAATTGACGTCATGATTGTATGGCTCCGTACTGATATCATAGCCACCGGGTTGAAGTGTACAGGATAAAGTCGGTAGAAACAAGTCGAGATTAGCGTATGGCTTGTTATTCACAATCACAACGCTCTCCTGATTGGTACTTTCGTTCTTCCTCCCCTCCAGTATATTCGGCTTTGTTTCATGTAACCCATTCCTAACTCCCGGGAACAATCAATGTCACCTGCTGTCCGAATATGATGACAACGAACGAGCAAGCGTGATTTGTGATTTCACCCAGCGGTACCTCAACTTATCGGATTTGTAGCATGATATGAAGTAAAGGTTTTCCCGACCAGATGTCTTTTTTTCTTTATGAGTTTTAACTACACTATGGTTGCAAATTGTGATCAATATTGAAACCCGAGTATTTAGTGATAAACTGGTTTTGAGTAGCTGAACACGAAGATACTCAAGGAGGGAAATAATGGTGCCCATCGGGGATCGTGAGTTGCCACCGTGAACTTGATAGTTCACTGGCCTCATGCCTGTTGTGTGATGTTCGTTTTTCCACTCTCCAAATTCTCGGAATGTGTGGAAGATATGATTGGGAAAGGATTCCATTCATTAGCGTATTTGTTTTGTGATGAAGCCCGAGTTATGCAGTATGTGCCCAAACGCAGCGTATGAACTGACACTGATGTAAGCATAAAAAAGATTAGCTGTATATTTGAACCAGCATACTGTTACGATGGACCGTACGAATATTACCCTACAAGGTTGTATGTACATTAACAGTGCCAAACAAAGCGTAGCTTTCCACTGCAACGTGGATCAAACATATGTTCCCACTAAATATTCTCGTTTGAACGTTAAAAATCGTCAAACTATTCAAACGCCGATTAATGTGGTGCGGATGAAAACGGGATCCTAGTATGACACATGACTGGTATGTATCTCAACGCCTTTTTTCAGGACGACAATTGGTTCCCGATATCTTTGGATGCATATTATTTAAGGGTTACATGTAACTAAAAACGTCAGTGGTAAACAACGACCCACGTTTTTTGAAACAAGAATGCGGTTCAGTGAAACAAAAAGGACAACTAAGGCTGTCATCCCTTACGACCTTTCACACTGACACAGTCAGTTAAGTTATGGAAATGCGATGTTGTGCAGAACTGCTCCACAGAATCATTAATAACAACCCTAACCGTGTTACGGTGCCTCATCCAAAGTTGGGGACAAATTAAGGGCTTTACGAGAAGAACCGAGAGTGTGGAATTCGTACGCACGCACAAGGTGCTTACTAGGTTTCTGTCAAGGAAAGTTTGGGAATACAATCGCCACATGCTTGTCACAAAAGGAATCGAATGCGCAGACACCCAAATGTAGAGAGGCTATCCGAGAAACCACAAGGTGCCTGTGTTGGAGAAACGACAAGAAAACAAACGGGAGATTTATTTCATCATTCAAGATTGCAGTAACAGAATAAAAAGTTGCTGTACATCGTACTGATCATGATTGGAAATGACATTGAAGCTTCAATGAATGACCGGATTTAAAGGTTCCGCTCGAATGGAGGAGAAATCAATGCGCCGATCAAGATCCTCGTCAATCTCACCCACAAGTGCACTGAAGAATAAAAGTATAAACAAAATCAATAGTCGTAATAATAACAATAATGTTCGTTTAGCTGTAACAACCTTTCGGTGCATACATGACACCCTACGCGAAGACAGAACGAGGGCTGAGGTACCGCCAGGTTGCTCGAATTGTGATCAATATTGAAACCCGAGTATTTAGTGATAAACTGGTTTTGAGTAGCTGAACACGAAGATACTCAAGGAGGGAAATAATGGTGCCCATCGGGGATCGTGAGTTGCCACCGTGAACTTGATAGTTCACTGGCCTCATGCCTGTTGTGATGTTCGTTTTTCCACTCTCCAAATTCTCGGAATGTGTGGAAGATATGATTGGGAAAGGATTCCATTCATTAGCGTATTTGTTTTGTGATGAAGCCCGAGTTATGCAGTATGTGCCCAAACGCAGCGTATGAACTGACACTGATGTAAGCATAAAAAAGATTAGCTGTATATTTGAACCAGCATACTGTTACGATGGACCGTACGAATATTACCCTACAAGGTTGTATGTACATTAACAGTGCCAAACAAAGCGTAGCTTTCCACTGCAACGTGGATCAAACATATGTTCCCACTAAATATTCTCGTTTGAACGTTAAAAATCGTCAAACTATTCAAACGCCGATTAATGTGGTGCGGATGAAAACGGGATCCTAGTATGACACATGACTGGTATGTATCTCAACGCCTTTTTTTCAGGACGACAATTGGTTCCCGATATCTTTGGATGCATATTATTTAAGGGTTACATGTAACTAAAAACGTCAGTGGTAAACAACGACCCACGTTTTTTGAAACAAGAATGCGGTTCAGTGAAACAAAAAGGACAACTAAGGCTGTCATCCCTTACGACCTTTCACACTGACACAGTCAGTTAAGTTATGGAAATGCGATGTTGTGCAGAACTGCTCCACAGAATCATTAATAACAACCCTAACCGTGTTACGGTGCCTCATCCAAAGTTGGGGACAAATTAAGGGCTTTACGAGAAGAACCGAGAGTGTGGAATTCGTACGCACGCACAAGGTGCTTACTAGGTTTCTGTCAAGGAAAGTTTGGGAATACAATCGCCACATGCTTATCACAAAAGGAATCGAATGCGCAGACACCCAAATGTAGAGAGGCTATCCGAGAAACCACAAGGTGCCTGTGTTGGAGAAACGACAAGAAAACAAACGGGAGATTTATTTCATCATTCAAGATTGCAGTAACAGAATAAAAAGTTGCTGTACATCGTACTGATCATGATTGGAAATGACATTGAAGCTTCAATGAATGACCGGATTTAAAGGTTCCGCTCGAATGGAGGAGAAATCAATGCGCCGATCAAGATCCTCGTCAATCTCACCCACAAGTGCACTGAAGAATAAAAGTATAAACAAAATCAATAGTCGTAATAATAACAATAATGTTCGTTTAGCTGTAACAACCTTTCGGTGCATACATGACACCCTACGCGAAGACAGAACGAGGGCTGAGGTACCGCCAGGTTGCTCGAACAGAAGTAGTCGAGATGCAGATGTTGGATTCGAACGACTCACTTGCCGATCAGTAAGTTCACTCCTTAACCACTGAATTCTCTCGAACTTCAAATGCGATGAAAAAGGTATCAAAACCAAGCATTATCAACGAAATTATTTCTAGGGCTGAAGGCATAGCGCCAAATATCTCAATGACAAACTAGACATCGCCTTTTGGTGCGAAAATACGCGATCCCCAAAACAACCCACTTGAAAAAAACAGGACACAGGGTTGAAAATGAAGACTCAATTACAACAAAAAAAGTTGACACCGAATTAAGGTAAATCATCCAAACTTAAACTGTCACTTTCGACGACGTCACTGGAGTGAAGCAAACATGAAGGCTCTAATGAACAGCTGTACGTGTTGCGTCGAAAAATGTTGGCCTCGGTGCTGCAGTCCGTTAGCCGAGAATAAGGCAAATAAAGCGGCAGTAGTAGTGCCAGTTAGACTGTGGTGTAACCAGCGAAATTGTCAAAAAGTATCTTTTGATAAATATGGGTAGTGATCGGTATGTGATGCGTTATTCTTGGATCACGGTTGGTCTAGTGATCTGTTTGTTCTCACCAGTGACGACTCAATGCTTAAGGCACCAGCTTACGGATCGTGGTTCGAACTTGACTGCTCCTGTCTAGACTTGGGCAAACTGGCAGTATGCTAGCTCTCATGCCTCCATCCGTTGGCGTGGTAGGTGGGCACTGGAAGGGTGCTACAGCTGAACGATTTTTTCTACCAGTGATAGGCCCTATCAAGTGGGAGACGGTACAAACGCAACAGCTGCCAAAAATAGCACGTTTGGGTTCCAAATCGAAAGTTGCCTGATTGGTGCCGTTTCCCTATGGGGCACGCAGCCCACAAGTGTTAATCTTCTAGCGGAGAGTGATACTATGGAGCACTGCAGATAGTACAGCATGACGTGCTCATAATCTTTATCGAGACCGAAAGTACGACAGAACCGCTAGTAAAAGAAAGGACGTGGGCATTCTAGAAGAGGCAATACATACTGAGCACTCACATTAAACACACCTTTGAAAAAAGAGCGCGTGGGAATTATTCCGAAAAACTAAAAATAAACTTACACATTCTGGCCGCGAATGATGAAGAGTCCAAGAGGGACTTGTTCCACCCCTTCGGTAGGACTGAACACACGTTCTTGGCTGTCCTTAATAACAAGGTTTATCACATTGTCGAAACCCTTCAAGGTGCCCTTTGGTTGATGAATAGAAAAGAAAACTCACTTAGTATGATAGAGACAGAGAAGCGCATCGTAGAGGAAGAATCAGTATACATATAATCATGACGAGATCTGGACTGCGTGATTATAGTGGTAATAGCTGTAGCTGTTTAGTTTGCCGATAATCTACAATAGGATAGCTACGTATTGATGCGTGAGTCAGAAGTGACAGGAGACTTCTTATTGGGGAGATCACGAGGGGGAGAAATGCCATGAAGGTAACGGCACAGATGTATGCATGCCGCAGAGCGCGCGACTTGACCAAAAACTGATTGGTCAGATCTCAGAGCACTGACCAGAGCAGCTGAGTTTGTTGGTACTGGCTTTCATATTCGCTGCCAAGTCATTACTGGACCTCCGTTGGCTTGTTCCAACCCTCCACATGGTTGGAGGGCTCTCTCATGATTGGCATATGGAGCCTGTGACCAAACTAGCATGACCTTGGTAGCGGGTCGACACGGCACATCGGCCAGGTAACTGACGATCAAATGATCTGGCGACGTTTGAATGTAGAGTTGAATGGCATTTGAGATGGACTTCAATGAACATCAGTGAATTGTGTGTGCAAACGAAACCTTCCGGTTGTACAAGCCAAGGATTTAGTTCCCGTACCCCAAATTGAGCTTTCGACTCAGAAGTCTGACACAGAAGGCGGTGGGCAGTTGAGTTTTCATAAGGGACTATCCACGAAGGTAATGACGCGATAGTCTAACTTGATTGGTTGGCCCGAGGACGCACAGAATAAGGTATAGATGCCTGACTATTGATGTTGCAACGCACAGATGTATTTGGAGTTGCATTGGACACACGCCATGTTTTATTCTTATTTCGACTGTATTGGATAATTCGTCGGCCATTACTATCAAACACTCGGAGTGTGCGCTTTCAGGGTTGACCCCTTCTAACACGTTCTTCCTTGGTGGAAGGTAACATCGTTATTGTTGCCGGGGTAAACAACTTTGTGCATCTGAACTCTCAACGAACATCCGAATCACCTCGTACTAGGGCTATTCGTAGTACCGGATATCGCTGTCCTTAGTATAATTGCATCTCTTTGGCCTGCTGCACCTCGTGGATCAAAGTTCCAGTCAATGTAACCCGCGGGATGATTGCGCGACTCATGTTCCATCACGACGTCAAGGCGGCAAATTTAGGTTAGTTCAAAATAGACGTACTCGAAATGTGTGCTATCACGACATGCATTGAGTAAACAAATGTAGTTTTCATTACCGGAAGTCGTAAATCAAACTCAAGGTTAACTCAGGCCAAGTTGAGGCTGAAGTTACGTTTGACAATAACACGAGGTTAACAGGTGGGGTATAAGTGACCGAAGCAGGATGGGCTACCGAGTACCCAAAGGCTCTCAACAAGGGTAAAAATAGTGCCATCATGCAAAACGACGAGATTAAACACCGTTACCTGACGAATGAAATGCCAAAAGCATTTAGTGTGAGATAAACTGAGACAAATTGGATTGCTTACCACAATAGTTCTTCCATCAGCAGTTATCACATTAACCATACCTGAAGTGAATTGCGTGTTCAGGAACCAGCGCAATCGTGATACAAATGGCATATGAATAAGTTATCTGACTAACTGAATACATGCATCAAGAAAAATGATATGAATAGACTGAGACCGAAATGAGGGATATTCCCGTGTACGTTACAGCAAATAGAGGGCACGACAACAGAAACAGAGTCTTCAACTCTACTCGTAAAGGATACGACCAACATAAGCTTCCAACTCAGACGCCATAGTTGAACCACTAAAAGCGAGAAAAACAGAAATTAGGAAAATATTCGGAGGATGTTACGAAAATACGAAACCGAAATCCACGATATGTTCACAAAATATGGGAGTTCGCCAGAGCTTTATTAATTACCCGGTAGGAAACTATCCTCCTATGTGTCATGAACACACTCAGACACGACATAAGCAAATGCACCTCGGCCATTTTGAACACATTCAGTCAATATCATAGTTCCCATCTATTATGCGCGACTAAGTGTTCGTGATTTGTTTTATGAGGAAGAACTTTGGCAGATGTCCAGCTATATGCCAGCAAACCAAGTCGAGGGGTAAACCATGGAATTCAACTTATAAACTCATCTGCAAACCAATTTGTTTTTCATCGCAGACTCGTCACTTCACAAACGACAGATTCAGCTGGGTTCCAGGTAAGTCTCCCCTGAGAACCAAATTGGCTTGCAGACAACTGTATAAGTCAAATTTCGTGCAATTTGGTTTTAAGTATAACATAAGCTTAGCGGAAACTCGGAGAGTGCATCTATCTGATGAGCCCAAGAAAAGCGGAACTGGTCGTTAGCTGTCGGAGAGTTTTCATCGACCTTATGCGTAAGGTACTACATTCACATGGCATGTAAAATTTTTCAGAACCGCACAGGAAGAGCCTGGGGGACAAATTGCATTCATTGGATGAAGGAATCAAGTGGAAAAATTCCCAATATCTGCGCAAAACAACAGGAGCAAATTGCACAGTAGTCCAAACCCTAACAGACCAGAACCTTTCCTCATTCAAGTGAGAACACGGGCTCAAAGAACACTAGGGATACATGCTGAGCCGAATATCGACACAATGAGAGTTTCTTTGGGAGACAGATATGGAGAGCCTGGTTGGCTGATTGGACAAAGTCACGAGCCGCTATTTCGATAAGCCAGGTTCGGACCGTGTAAAGGTGCCTTCAGGTTGCCTGCCAGCGTCCGTTCAGATAACCCTTGCACATAATGTATGACAAGTGGTGTCAAAAAAGAATTCACGCTAAGCGAAATACACTGATTTACATCCAAATTTGGTTTTGACGGGAAAGTCACCTGGAACCCAGCTGCGTTTATGATGAATATGCTGCACCAGGCCACCTTATATTTCAGTTGGTGTGAGATTCCAGATATCACGATACTTTGTGTAGACGTAATGCAGTACTCAGCAACCTTACGAGTAGTGCATTACGTCCGTACAAATCAAGTCAAAATAAAACCCGGCAATTCTATTGACTGAGCAGGACACAATGTAACTGATAGCAGAATGCTTGAAGCGTCAAGTAAGCTGACCTCAAATCCACACCTCTCAAGTATCGTCAGTAGACTTTGATTAGATTTCGAATCACGGCGAATCCGAAATTTCTAGGAGCTATTTGACTGCACGGCCTGTACTAAGCGAGGAGATCCACTCGTAATGAATTAATCGGCTAATGAGTGCATCCGTACTAGCGAATTAAGAGAATTGGGAGTGGAAATGCTACCATGAAAGAACAAAGAGCTTTCATTGAGCAACTGTATGTGTATTTGCATGAGCTAATATATACATTCATCTTAAAATTATTCAAGTCCGGTAAGGTGTATCTTGTGAGCATGGATCACAGGACTTGGGGGATTCCTCTTGGAAGGACCAGTGGAGCCAGCGTTGGTAGACTGTTAGAAAGCGACGAAAAGCCGCAGCGGCAAACGGCGGAATAGGGACTCCGTCAGTATCGGGACCAGCATCAACTGCAGAACCATCTAGAAGAAATTAAAAGACAGGGGTACCTAGTTGGAGCACCACAGAAAGCAAAACCAATCCGCCGACTCATTATTAGTTTCGGGCAATCAGCTGGGCCACGCAAGGTCACACTAAAAAATCAAAAATCGAATCGATCAAATGGAAGTTTGTCAACAAACGAAGGTTCAGGAAAACAATAACATAATGGAACTGTACAAATCTCAAATCGTGGGATTACGCGGGCTTCTATACTCTGAGTTATGTACTGCTAATTCCAGATGGGATCCTGCGTAAATACGTAGGCAGAAAACAGTAGGCCAACCCCAGGTTCAGACCAAATCAAAACAAAGTAGCCACAAGATGGCAAAGGCCACGTGCTTGTATCAAGCTACGCACGCGATGACAAGGTCATAGAGCGTCTTGCGTTCAGGTCAAAACAAGAAAGGGAGTAAAAGCACAAAACAATGCAAGGATCCCCGTTGTATACAATCAGAATAGAAGAATCAACACTGACTGGCTGGGAATTCACCAAAGATGAATATAGGCCACTCCGCCACTGATTTGCAGATTCGTTTGAGTCAGACTTTCATACGTCGTAGATTTGGAACATCCGTGTTCTACTTGACCTTATTAGGTAGGAACGTCAGAATTACGATCCATATCGCAGATGATTCGATGAGCTATTCGATCCTACTTTGTACCGCACCTCTAACGCGTACAAAGTAACTTCTATTATCCACTTAAGGTCAATTCGTTTCAGGATAATAAACCAGTACAATGTGATTCGGATTTTCGAGCATTACAACTGTGTTGGGTAATCCCGACACTACAAACTAAACTCAAAACGCTGTCGGCGTTCGCTGCTGGCTTGAGGAGAGCCTCGAGTGCGAGATCACCCAAGTGGTTAGAGCGCGAATTTACTGACCGGAGAGTTCGTGGTTCGAACCCGACCTCTGCCTCTCGACTTCCCCTGTCTAGGCTTGGGCAACCTGGCAGTATCCCAACCCTCGTGTTTCCTTCGGGTAGCATGGCAGCTAGGCACCGGACGGGTGTTACAGCTGAACGACTTTTTCTATTGAAATAACCCTCACTTCAAACTATGACGTTCCTATATCCGTTCTGATCTAACTGTCTAACTGAAATTTCCTTGAGCTTGACTTTCCATCAGGATATTCTGAACTTTACATAAAATAACAGGTATACGCCACTGGAGAGCAACGAATGCTCTATTCCATACGGAATAAAGTCTAGACAGCACAAATAAGATTTGGATATGCTTTAAGCAGCTGAGAGGACGAGGAAATGAAAGTAAAATAAAGTTTACACTGGTACAATCTCCTTCGAGGTAAACCATCTGCAAAGAAAAGTAGTAAAAGGCTATCACAAACCACAGTCCTTTGGAATCGCTCGGAGGTAACGACCGGGTTGCAAAAAGGTAACACTGGATTTCTCAAGTAAGGAATGCACAAATCTTCAAAGGTTATTTATCAGTAGTTGAAATACAGATGAATGTGAAGATCTTTCGGTTGCTGCAATTTATCCACCATACTATCGGAGCCTCATGGATAACAAAATGTATAAGAAAACCGATTGTTCATTGAATTACAGCAAATTTCGGACTGGTTTATCTTAATTCACCGATGGTCAGCGCATAGTGGTCAACAAGTTTGTTCCGAAAAACTGACCGCTTGAAGCCTTCAGATTACCTGGTCTATAAACAACAGTGCACGGGCATTGGAATGTATAAAAACGGGGATGTGTAGGAGGTCGTCAGCGCTAACGTCACTTTCGTATCTACTAAGTTCAGCATGATGAGTGTAACGCAGGGGGCTCCTTACCTTTGGGTATCGAACCCTTCGACAACAGCCTACGGAACAATGCCACTTCGATTTCCAGTGATGCAATCATACGTCGGTCTGGAATAACGACGATGTTCGGAACCTTGGAGTTGGGGTTCTCTTGCTCGCCCATCATTAGCTGAAGTATAAATGCCTTCAGGTCCCAGTTGAAACGGTTTGCAGAAAGTAGAGAGGCGAAAAAAGCCAAACTGGGTCGGATAGTGATATGAGGGGTGGACGCTGTATTGGAACTAGCAGGGCTCGACGCGTCAGCCAAAGAGGTAAGCAGCTGCTTGACCGAAGCGACTGATTTGCAGGCGCGCGCCAAAGAACCCCAAGTGGCCTGAGGTAAGATCACAAGACAACGGCCAGATATGATAAGAGAAGGAAGTGGCAAACACGCACAAGCTCTGCAATACATTGTGTCAGGGATTTTGGAGAGCAAACACCATGTACAGTTGTACCGTTTACTTGAAACTCCAAGTCGCAAACATCTATGCGGATTACAGGCCAACAATCAATGAAACTACCATTACACACAACGCAGAACTATGGATCTTCGACAGTTGGTAGGGTATTCTCGGACACTGTGTTACTGTCTGGCAGCATCACGAAGACGCTGTCTGGAAAAAAGCATCGTGCGTTTGATTAAATTGGCTGATTTGTGGGGCTTATGCACACCGTTCTTGGTGTGTGATGTGTGGAATATTTCAGAGTCAGATCTTTCACCGTACCAGCCTGTCCAATCCACACCTCAAATTCAATTGCCACACCGGTGTTAATGAATTCCCAGTGTCAATACGTAGGAACTGTCATTTTTCATCATCCTGCTTAGACAGCGATGAAGCTCCTTAGGATCACCCGGTAGATATACAGCAATCAAAGCGACAACGATTTTCGGATTAATAAAGCTGAATTTAACTTTATGGGACCACACGAATCTCTACAGTCAGTTTCCGAAGGCCAACGAAGACCGGCCGACTGAATTTACTTCATGTCACCGTGAAGTGGCTGCGAGAAGTTTCCCACAGCTATGTCAGATCAGTAGGGTGATGCCCGAAAACACTTCATGCCTATATGTTCTATTCACATCGTAAGCCCAAACTCACTGTGACCGGTGGTAGCCGCAATCAAAGGCACACGTATTGTTGCCACACATACTGATCGGTTTTTTCAGCATGGTGTATTATGAATAAAGGGATCCGAATTCCAGTACGACGGATGACTCGCAACCTTGCTCGTCCGGTTGAAAAAACATGCAATGTGTGGAGCTTAGAGAAGGTAGCCCCGGTGTAGGGTGCCACATGGTGAAGGAAGAACACTATAACGGGGTTTCAATGAAGCAAATGGGCAGAGGCCTGTAGGCGAGGGTGCTGTTGTAATACGTTCCGGCATTACTGAAGTATAACGAAAGTGACCTGCACAAACACAATGTCATGCCACATCTGCCATAACGCGATGCCATTAGTCGGATAACCTTACTTGGAGCAGACAGCAAAGTGGATGAACGAAAAAAGTCACTTCACACGCTCCCCATCTTCTCTTATTAATAAGTTCAAACCCCTAACTCTCTATTCAAGAGGCAGTCATCTGTAAACCTCGGCTGCTAACACGTCAGTGTCGTGCCCATAGAAGTAACAAGCAGGCCACTGTTCACACCCATCTATCCGCGTCCGCTTTTAGGGGGACAATTCATTACTTTACTCATAGCGTACACAAGTGGGCTAACAAGTGTCGCTATTGCGTATTCTGGATAGCTTATCTATAGATAACTGCTGCACTTCCAAAGCTCGATTACCAGGTCCTTGGCTAGGAAGAGGTAAAGAATTAGTCGCAAACCGTGCTCTAAAGCGGTCTCAGTAAACAGAATGATATCGTCCTAGTAGGCGGAAACGCCATCAAGCCTGCGATCAGGAGGAAGCGGGAATTAATCTGGTAGAGTGAGGCACAAGTCCAACAGCGTCGAAGAGGATTTCGACGACATAAAGGATATATTCTTCATCATGATCGGTGTCTGTCCCGCTCCAACTCATTTTTGACGAGGAGCTTGCTGAAAGCGGGATATGGCCAGGCAACGCAAAATACAAGTGGCTAGCACATAGCTGGGCACGATTAGATCTTAGCACATCCTTGGTCAAATGTCATACTGTACTAACAAGTGGGCCATTGGCGTGTGAACGATCGCAGTTACGATAGTTTGTCGCTATATACTGCGCTTGTGTCGGGTGAAGTTAGCGAGATGCTAGGTCGATTCCGTTGCTAAAAACCAATTCCAAGACGATAAACCCATGTACTTGCTTCGAAGTTGTTCTAGGATATAGATTTCCTTCAAATCCCTCAATTGTTTCCTTTGAGATATGAAATTTTTACGTGTGCCCTTATTCTCTTTATTTCACGGTCGTATGGCAACCATGAAGTTGCTGCTGATTTACTAGTGTTCAAGAGCGAGTCGATTGCTGCATCCCAACAAACAGTCATGAAAGTTCCTTAGCACTTTGAGGCGAAATAGGGGTTACAGGATGTGTACCACGACGAAAGGATACAATGAGAACCTAGAAAATATGTCATACTGTATGTTAGGTAATTCGCGAAATGGATGGCTCACTTGATCGGGCGAGAGACCCATACGTGTGGCTTCCGCCAGCAAGCACTCGGCCGATACCCCAACAGCTGTACGTCGATTGATCAGAGCATTGTAAAAGGGCATGTCAAGCAAGATCCGGCGTTGACGAGCAGCATCTAGAATGGCAACCTCCCACTGATCCAGGTTATTTTGTGTTGATGTCGCCTTCGCCGGGGGGAGTAAACCAATCAGTTCCGTAAATATGCGAATCTCAGGCTTAGTATTTCCCACGGTTTCCACTGTATTCAGAAAACCATGTAAACCACCAAAGAGGGCCAGTCGCTGCCAAGGTAACCAACCGTTGTAAGGAGGAACCACCTGCACGCAAGAGTAAAGAAAACTTAGATAATGAGAAGATACCGTTTCGGATCTGATTCTAAGTTAGTGTGATGGGAAAACCGATAGCATACGACTCTTTGCAACGCATCACTTTTAGGAAACCTCCAAGCAAACAATACTCAATACTACCTAAGATAGAAACGGCCATGGTGATTGGGAATTTTCTTACACTGGCAACGACTGGGAACATTTTCTAATTTCCCTGCATTCCTTCGCATAGGATTGTAATCTTACCGATCTGCATTTCCCAGTAGGTCGGCCAAATCGCAGTGGTTGAACACATTTGTAGGGCTTTGTTATCCACGACAAATAAGTGAACTACACCCTCCCTTTGTAAGAAGACGCTCTCACCTCTTCGGCGCACATTAACGGTTACGGTGCGGGCACTACCACGACAACCCGGAATGAGAGCTCTGAAGCCGAAGTAACACAGTATCTTTTTTCATCATTACAAAGTATAGAATGAGGCCAGATATCCAACGAACAACATCGCGGACTTTCATTTAGACAACCCGGATTCGAGTCTCCTCATACACACCTCCACAAGTGGTTGGAACAATGTTTACATATGGTCCTGTGCGTAAAGATGTAAGCAGACAAGTTAACATTTAACAACCCAACAAACTGCTGAGGGATAGGTTGGTTGCGTATGCGTAGGCCGTGGATGGATACACGGATTTCAACGAAGCCGAACTACGAAAATGGACAAAATTGCTGGAAGTTTCACAAAAATGGTGTTTGATGACTGGCAGAAGTGTGTCAGAATTCACTGCTTAGGCCACAATAGGACACTGCAGATCTGAAAAACATTTACTTCTCCATTTCTGCTGAAATAAAACTGTTAGTGACAAGTGTTTGCAGATAAAAGGAGATAAAAACCTTCTGTAACGCTGTATGGCGCTGCTTGAGGAACGAGTCAACTGGTCACCCATGAAGCTAGGCTAATGGTTTGAAAAAACGAGCGTTGGCTCAAACGGTTAAAAGCATACCTGGGAGTATTAATAAAGGAAACTGCTTAAAAATTGCTGAAAACCCTTCGAAAGCCCACAAATGGTCTTGCCCTTCTTGGGGCTCATCAGATGGGCGCAGTCCCCGACTTTTCCTCAACCTTATGCTCTACTTGAACCCAAATTGGACAGACGTTGACAAATAGCCCCATTCACGTCTCAATTTGGTTTTCACGGGAGGCGTGGCTGAAGAGAATAAAAAATGAGAGATTTAGTTGAGTCTCCCATGGAAACCAAACCGATATGCAAATAAGAGCACATGTCGAGACCTCGGTTTCGCTTCGGACAACCGCACATTCTTTTCTGCATCAGACCCATACAAGCCTGCTGCCCTCCGTCTCCCCTCCCCCGTGCAAATAGACATCACTCATAAACTATGGCCGCCGCATTCTCGTCTACTCTAAACGTAGACTTCAATACAGCAAGGGTCCACCCGATGAATGAGTATAAATGCGACAATAGGAAAGCAGTTTCGTCGACTTTCAATGGCGAAAAGACTGGATCTTACAGTGGTGTGACCGATTCCACGTCTCCATGAACCACTGGACAATGCTGGAAGGCGACCGCGCAGCACTTGGTGCGCCCGTAGCCCAGAGACAGACAGGCGGTTTTCTAAGGTTAATTTTGGAAAGACTGAAAGGTTTGAAGTGTTAAATAATGACCAAATCAGCTTCGTGGTTTAGGAGCTGGTACCGAAACATCAACTCAAATCATATCTAAGGCCAGGCATGAAGATCGAAAACTTGAATTGGCCGTCGTTCGCTGCAGCGTCAATTTTTTTGTTGGTCACGGTGGCATAAACGATACAATCTTCCTGGTGAATTCAGGCGGAGTAGTGAGTAACTAGCTCAACCAGAAACTCGACGCTATGAAGCAAAGGTCACGAGAGAGGATTTGGGTTCAAGTCTGAATCGTTCATGAATAGCTGCTCCCAGCTTACGCAGCAACAGTAGAAGCTTTGATGCGCCAGTTAAACACGTTTGAATCATGTCTCTTTATTTCATGGAATAACTTTCTAACGTTAGCCCATTATCAGCAATCGTAGTAGAGCTGACAATAAAATTCGTGCGAAAAGAAGGAAGTTCATTCGCTGCTGTCGTATTCGACGACACCACGCTCAGCCTCATTTGAGCTTCCCTGCCGTTCCTGTACTGTTAGTCCATGGAACTGCATTGCTGAAAATGATAACCGCTGATACTGGTCATTGATTTGCTGTTCTGTCCACAACAGTAATCAGGCATCGTCGTCGTCATCGGCGGCATAACATCAGTGTTCAAAGCTGATGCTTCGCTGCCACAATCAGACCAATCAGGGCAATGTGCGCTAGGTCCCACTGATTCCGAGTAATTAGGGTGCAGCCTACAATGATCCCTAGCTCGTGCTATCAATGTTGATCAATTCCGGACAATCCGAAATGGAATAACTGACAACTTTCATGAATTACGCCAATACATGCATACTTTCACAGTTGCGACACAATAACGAATCATCTGTAGTGCAGTTTGCGCGGATCATCACTGATTGGTATAGTTTTCTTTCACTCGATATTGAGGAACTCAGGGTTGCCAGTAGCTGTTCCTGGCTGATCGGTACGATCCCTGGATAGGCGTTACATGTTTCCCAAGTTTCAGTTATTGTTCTCCTTGAGGTCAGTCGTCTGATTCTAGATAGACTGGGAAAATGCATCTGAATTCCGGCTTCCTCAGAAACATATAATCCTCGGATTTCTTCCGAACCTCGGTAGCACGAGCCCAGAAACAAGCAACCAAATAGCGACTTATGATGGCTTGGTGAGCCATCAAGGAAAAGGATCAATCTATAAGAACAACCTCGAAATTCAAACCCACCAACTGCCCTTGGAAACCTATGGGTAGACTGAAACCTGGTACCAGATTGTTGATACCATTTGTTAGAATAGAACCTGGAATCAGAAGAGCCGATGAAAATGGTTCATATATCAACTTGTAAACGGAAAGGAATTAGTAGATCTGATCAACTGACAATGGTTCTCCGGGCCGATTCCCACTATGAATTTGAGTTAGTCAAGCTCGAGACTGTCCAGTGGTTAGGGCACAAACTTACTCTCCCGGAGGGCGTCTCGACTTTTCCTGTCTAGGCATGGATAACCAGGTAGCATCCTAGCCATTGTGCTTCCTTCGGATGGCATGGCAGCTCGGCACCGAAAGGGCGTTCGAGCTGAACGATTGCTTTTGAGTCACGCGCCAAAAAGACCGGAAGTCATTCAGTTGTAGCACCTTTCGGTGCCTAACTGCCATGCCACCAGAAGGAAGCACGAGGGCTGGGATACTGCCAGGTTGCCCAAGCCTAGACAGGGTAAGTCGGAAGGCAGCGACCGGGTGCGAACCACGGACCTTCCGGTCAGTAAATTCTCACTCTAACCACTGAGCCATCTCGCCCCCAGAAGACACCAGAATAAAGCAAGGACGTTTCGCAGACTATCCCATTACAGTAGGATAGTGATGATGACAAATAAAATGCCTGACCATATCGACGTGCAGTAGTAAACCATTTAGTTCCATGAGGGCAAAACCATGCATAATGCAATCAAAAATAGTAATTTCCTCGCCAAAAAAACCACCAGCTCGGTTGCAAGTTGGATGCAATCCAACTGCCAAGCTCGGCGAACAGACCAACAACCAAACAAAGCACCCGAGCTACCTACATTCCACAACATTGCTAGAACCACCAGCTCACTTGAATAGCGCGAGTAGTTGGAGTAAGTAGATTGACTGGACTGTGCATGGAAAACGATGTATCTTCCCAATCGAGCTGAATGACATTTTCCATCATGGTCTCGTCCAGGGGTTGCAACATATCTTGAGAACCGTCATTTGCCACTGGAGGGGTAAGTTGGCCTTTTGTAGATTCCAAAAGTTCTGATTGAGTGGAAGAGGAAAAAGAGGGAGTCACCGCGGAATCAGGAGGTTCGATTCTGAGGGTCGAATCATTCCCATTCCCCCGAGGTATACACTTGAGCGCTCCAAGCAACAAGACAAAAATATGTGAAGATAATTCGACGTTCGAAGAAATCAACCTATGCCACAAACTAAGCATGAATTGGAACAAATCCAGGCGCGAAAGTTGCTGTTGCTGAAGAGATATTGCAAGTTGATGCTTCGCGACGGCTGGTTTGATGCCACTCAGGACAGCTGATATGGTGAATTCGTCAATTCTAATTGGATTCTTGGGGGAATTATATTTGGCAGCTTTCAGCATGTCATCCAACGTGGCCATACAGCTTTGGATGTCACCACCTGAGGGAGGAAACAAACAAAAAAATGAAATCAACGGTAACAGCCGTATGTCTAGTCAAAGCGTGACGATTTCCAATCGGAAGCCGCACGCTTGAATGAGCGACTTTGGAGAATGAATTCATTTCATGAAATTAGACGAAGTAGCAAGAACAGATTGACGTGAGGGTGCCATCATTTCGCAGTTACATCTGCGGCCGTAGAACTAAATACGATCACGTTTTATACAGAGAAAACTAGAAGTCACGTCCAGTGATGTGCATTAATTTCAACAGTTTCAGGGCAACGAAATAGCTTGTTTTACTGATTTCTATGTGTACAAGCCCCGTCGATGGATATCACTTATCACGGTTTCGATGAACCTAAACAAGTAACTGGACAAAAAGGTCAACAGCCACCTGATCAACAACCTATATTTCAATACTACCCAGCCTAAGCAAGCTCAGATTGGTGCTGGTAATGATATATACTGTGAAAGAGTCTGTAGGGTTAACCTTGATAACTTACATTCAGGATATCTTTTGATGTTTTACCCACCCCCCCTATCACCACCACATTCTAAACATTATCAACATTATTATCACCAACAGAAATAAGCCGGATATAAACATTGACGCTTAACTGCCGCGTTACCAAGAATGCCCTAGCAAAGAGTGGAAAGAATGTCCGTGTGGAAAACAGTCGAACAGCCTACACTTCAGAACAAAACACTGAACAGACGCGGACGAAATCTTACCGATGTGAAGCGCCATTACTGGGACTGACCCATTATTCTGCGCGAATTTCGCCCACCCTAAGCACACTCCTAGGCGACAAACGATCTAGGTATTTCAGTTAGAAAGTGACAACATAATTGCCGTTAGTACTGATCAGTTGCAACGCCTGTGAGATTTTCCACCACATGAAAAGAGAATCACGTGGACCGAATCTAGAAAGTTAAAATTCCCTGCAGCAGCCACTTGGCTATGGCCGCTCCCATTTTACGTTGTCATGCCATCGTCCGTTTCCCATGGACGTTCCACTAGCAATGGATTGGAACAGAAACTAACAACCTTCTTTGGTACACGGAGGCTGAGCGCGCGCACAGATAGCCATTCTTTATCGAGCACTCGCTTGTTGCGGGCGATATAAAGGTAGCTGAACTCCGTCATGATACGGAGGCACCGGCGGGCAGATGTTCGTTACTGAGGGACCCATACTTCTCAACAATGAGTAAAACTGCTCTTAGGAGTTTCGTATGAACGGCACTTTAGCCCCTGTGAAATTCGTTTCTGATGTCATAAAGACGCAGGTTACCACACACTGTAACTGTGTTGAGAATGCATGTACTGATCTTGTCTCTTACAGCACAGACGTAAACTCGAGGTTCGCATTCTGAAGTCCCAAAGGGTCACAGAGGGACGGGAAAAAAGTTAGTGCGACCGCAAGCTGAAGGTGAAAAACATCCTTAAACAAAGGACCGCTTCTGGAGTTTTATTTTTGAGGACAACTAGGTGCTGAATAACAAAACACCATGGGCATATCATTCGAACTAATTAGTCTTCCTCTAGACAGGATCGTAATACCTAGATTCAGGAGCACTTCATTATGAGGTCAATAGTAAAATTGAACAAACAGAGAACACGGGGTAAACCCGAGTCTCCAATAGGTACGGAAAGCTCGGACACAAAGCGAGCCATCGCGTCTCTTCAAAATGTTCTCAAGGGGCTATGTGATAGATCAAACTCTGATAGTATCCGGTCATTACCGAGAGAACGTGCGGACGACACAATACTGGCATGTTACAACATTTAGCGTTCTTCGGCAAACTGACAAAATCTATTCGCCGCTTTGGGCTGAACTTCCCTTCACAAGAGTAAGACGCTATAAAATAAGGCCGGACCGACACCAACTCGCACTTTGTGAAGTGGTGATAGATATGGTGGACAAATTTGCGTGTCTAGGCAGCTAACTTCAGAAGTAGTATCAAATTCAAACGGGCCTCTCACTCAAGGTTACAAATGCGTTCATAAATGTCCATCAGCCTTGGCGACGTCGAGACTAACTCTTACAAGACGTGAAAACGGCATCTTCGCGCGAAGTCCAGCTTTAACACTGTGAAGAATGAGCTGTGTGTAAAACATAACAAATAGGCCAGTCGTTGTCGATAACCGCTGTTTGAGAAAGATCGCCCAATTTGGTGGGAATGAACAGTACGTCAGCGACTGGGCAACACCATGGCCACCTAGGTACTATTCTGAAGCGGCACCAACTCACTCGACTGGGATTGTGTTAGCTATTTGTGTCTGTTAGAAAAGACAAGCTAGAGACCAGAAAATAACATGCTACATAGACTTAAACGTAGTTACCACCCTTCCGGTTAGTTAATCTCGACTTTGTGGATGATGAACTAGGGAAATGGCGCGGAACTGCAACTATCGGTGTGTCTTTTGTCGCTTCGTAACAAACCACCCCTTCATCCTCATAACGTTGGTACATGTTGCTCTGTTCGCTGAGTTGGACAATGTGGCTACGAAGATTCATCACCGGTCGAATTGACGCCATCAATGCGTAGTACGATAGCGGATCGTCGTAGTTCAGTAGCGTGCCGGTGTATAGGTAGTGAGCAGTGCTGCGCTTGAGGCTATACAAGTCTTGGCACATGGTAGTGTGTTCCCAGCTTCATTAGCAAAGTGTGGATGCAACTCTTCTTGTGATTAATTGGGCGGTTGCGGTGGCAATTCAGTATCCGACCAGTGGGTCGTTTTTTTTCAAGGAAGACAACCCAGTACATCCACGAATGGTGGTTGATTGTTCTTTTCACGTTCAACCGTGAAACGCAGTGTTGAGTACCAGCTGTGCATGTGTTTTACATTGTAGATCAAGAGTGCATTGCGAAGTGCCTCAATTTCTGCTTCAGTGATGCATCCAGATGTTGGTGATCCCATTTTAGTCCCCCCGAATTGTTGACGTGCTCGCAGTATGTGTCCATTTAAAAGTCTAGGTTGCAATGCGACATATTTGGGCTAAAACAACATTGGTGAACAATCACCAGTATGTGTGATATAACTAGCCTAAACTACGCAGCGTGATGGACCCATCTGCCGTGATCGGTTTCCTCTTCTCAAAACTACATGACTCGTTTAGCAATTCCTCGGCCAATGTTCGTCTTGAAAACTCTAAGAACAAGAAAGTCAAACAAACACAGTCATCCTATGCCTTCTGCGAGCACGGATCACGCCTATGGTCTACAGGATAGTGCTCGTACTGGAGGAGACTTAATCTAGATAGATAAGCCCACATCACGTCCGAGATAATTGTGTCGGAAGTGGCTTAGGCCACCATGGGCTTCTCGATGTTGGAAGTGATGACCAGGCCTAGGCCATCCAGCTTTCCAGGTGGACGAATTCGCGTGCGGACAATTAACGAAAAAATCGTTCATCTGTAGCACCCTTTCAGTGCCTAGCTGCCATGCCACACGAAGGAGGCACGAGGGCTGGGATACTGCCAGGCCGCCCAAACCTGGACAGGGGAAGTCGACAGGCAGAGGTTGCGTTTGAACCACGGACCTTCCAGTCAGTAAATTCGCGCTCTAACCACTTGGCGCATCTCGAATGACCGAAGGAACCACCGTTATCAGCTTGTGGGGTACCCAGTGGCAGCAAATCGACTGAATAACCGAAACGAGAAGGTTGACTGTGCTTAAGCATCAACCTAATTCTTGATTTCAGACGTGTACGGATAGCAGGTGTGTGAGAGATGTAACCAAATGTATCCGATACAAAAGAGTATCAGTGGAGCATGGAAAAAACCACACACAAGTGAATGTTTTGGCGAGAGGAGGATGGTGGCATGGTACCGTGTACAATCAACCTCACCTAGTCTTCAATCAAGGGATTCTATCATTACTTGAAATGAGACTGATGAAAACATAAACGTGATGAGCCCCACGGTGGAGAAAACCGGTCGTGGATTGTTGCAGAGTTTTCACCATCTTTATGAGTAGTGTCTTGTGAATAAAAATACACCAAAGTATCAAATATCGTACCAACCAAAACATAAGGCAGACTTTTTCTGGGACATTCAGTTTGAGATTATTATAAATGAGGGATCCAGCTGACGGTCAACTGAGTAAACCTCCACACGAATGCATGACTCCGTTTACGCACAAATTAGTGTTCAATTAGGAAAAAGGTTGGTGAAAAAGTGGAGCTTGATGAGCGTGAAGAAGGGAAAAATTGTCGGTAGGTTTTAGTAGTTTTCATCAACCTTATGAGTGACGTACTGCAAACACAGCTGTTATTCCATGAGACATAAGTCATTTTTTGGCAAGAGGTCCAGTGCCCAAATTTTACCTGCCACCACTGTCGGTCGGGATAGTTAGCAACTCAGTACCGCAACTAGAATGACTCACTGACCGCGAGGTGGTGTGTGGCGGATGCCTTAGTCCGATCCAATGGAAAAAGCCACTCGAAAATGGAGAGGCTTTTAACTACTTGTTAACTGTGAGTAACTAACTCTCGAGAACAAGTACATAGAGCAGGCTCCAAAGGTGCCTTGCGATTTGGACAAATTGGGAAGCCCCGACGGCGTCCCGTCACTTTACATTCAAACATAATCCAAAACAAAACCTATTTTTAAGGATACGATTCTCTGGACCCCTTAAATTTTGGTATTCACAACAGATTAACCAGGGAAACCGGGTAATGCTGTACCCATCTTGCTCACGCGCTTATTCCAGTAGGAGACACCAATGAGCGCAGTTCGACGCACCTGTTATGGGCGGATGTTGTAATTTCCATTTTTTCGTACCAGACAGCTTCCAACGAGTCTACCTGAAAAGCGTCGTGGGACGTTTACGTGCAAAGTACGGTTGGTCCAGCATTTGATGCGATAGATGGATCATTTCGAGGCAGACATACCATCATTGTTTTCCGCTCAGGATGTTATCAGGACAGCTATGCGCAGTTTTGACGCTGAGGCACTATTGGTTGCATGATCTGGCCATTCCTGCGTCCGTATCCCAATCAGTAGCCACCACCTTCACGAGATAGTTGGGCTTAGCTGTCGTAATGATCCGGTAAGCAAACTCAGTTGGAAGCTATTCGAAGGTCAGCTATGCCAGGGAGACCAAAGGCAACAAGGGCAACAGTTCTCCGTACGCGGCGCAGTTATATCAAAAGTTGTCAGGAGAAGACTAATAACGGCCTCAACGATTGGAGTGGGAGGCCAGACGATCACTATTTCCCGTTTGTGGAAGCAGCGATGTCGCCTTCCTACGCGGAGGGTTAAGTAAGAAAGGACCAGTCCGAAGAACTTCGACCAACAAACTTTAGCACATTATACCTTAATTCACCAAGATTCGTTACAATTCCAGTAGAGTTTCCTGCGTACATCAGCATCAGGAATCGAACATTTATGCCACAATGCATAATACAACCTTCCAAATGGATAGACCATTGGTTCCGGACATGAACCCCTAAAACTGAAGCACCCGCCACCTTGCAGATCAAGTGGTTGAGTCACGAGGATCAGGCTTTTGAGTAAATGCCTCAATACGGGGTGTCTCGAACACACACTCGTCTGGAATTGACTGCAAGCACCGTATTTGCCCATCAGTTGCCAACTCTTCCTCACAACCCTATCAACGGGACATGCTGACTCACTTTGTTGTCCATAAGCTAATAGTTGTCCAACCCAAACTTTTATCCAGCATCAAAAACCAAAAATACTCCCCTAATAGATTCTAAGGATCTTTCCACGTTCCAGCTTACAATATCCATGAACTAAAGATAACTCAGAGTTAAGGCGCGAAAGTAAGTGATTCAAACTCAACCTCTGCATCTCGACCGCTCAAGCAACCTGGCAGTACTTCATTTCTCGTGCATATTTCAGACGGCCGGACAGCTTGGCACCGAAAGGGTAACAGTTAACCTACTGTTATTTTTTATCTATTTTTTAATATCCATACTTCATTCCAAATAAGCAACAAGAACCTCCCGCGGAAAAGGTTGCTTTCGTTTCCTGTTTACACACAGGTTACCCCAGACTGTTGACAACGAAACTACGCTTCATCCTTCGAGTGTATAGCAATCCTGATGCAGTCAGCAACTCGGATGACATGACTGAATTAATTCAACCGCATATGTATGTGACGATAAAATAAAGCAAAACAAAATGTACTAAAATATACAATACAAGTACACCATATGGTAACATTCTCCTTTCACATTTTATTCTAGCTTTGTGGGTGTCAATACACTCAACAAAAAATGGTCGTGGTAACTTCGTTGTGGATCTTAACTTTAGGACTAAGATGAAAAGAAACACTACTCGACAGAGACTTTCTTGTTGCTCCGAGGGAAGCAGTCTTCGAAACAGAGCTAAGTGCCTTTGACTGAGTACGAGACGTTGTTAATGACCATCAGCAGCCATGCATCACTCCCTTACTCGGAGCAAAGCTCTTATTTCACGGTGACTCAGTCCAAAGTCAAAATCCAAGTCCTTTTCTGGACCAGAAAACACCTCTAAACCACCCGAACATGGTGGCCTTCGACTTGCTTTGCCACGAACTCGGCTTGTCTCAAAAGAGACATGGCTCTACCGTCAATCAGTACCGTAGACGAGACTTGGTTCCTTTGAAAAATCAAGTCGGAAGCACTAGACTAGCAACCATACGCCTACGATGGGATGATTCACCAACCCGAGCCCCTCGATCAGCTGCCAGACTTCCGTTCGAATGGTCAAAAGAATAGTCTACACATTGGAGAACTGTTGAGCGAATACGAAACAGCGGATATGTCCACGTGCGGCACATTCGTCATGTCTGTCTGTCTATTTTAACATAGTCCCTTCAGTGTAGGGTATTATTATTCACGCAGTAACCTTTACAAAAGAGACTCCTTCGAAAGGAGTGCACAAGACAATTCTCTTCCAGCTCATCTAGTGCAATACTGCTGGAAAGAAGTGCTACTGTCCGCAGCAGAGGATAAATTCTCTTTTTCCCTGTGATGGATTCACTTTACGGACTCCTATGTCGCAATAAGATAAAAAGATAAGCGTTCAGCTGTAGCACCCCTTAGGTGCCCAGCTGCCATGCAACCAGAAGGAAGCACGAGGGCTGGGATACTGCCAGGTTGCCCAAGCGTAGACAGGAGAAGTCGAGATGCAGAGCTCGGGTTCGAACCATGGACAGTATGGTTAGTAAATTCGCGCTCTAACCTCTGAGTTCCAACAACAAAAAGCAAGCAAGGTCTTCGCACTTGAGTTGAGCATTTGAACAGAAGCGGTGGAGGTGACAGCAACAGACACAATACCAAAGTATGCCACAATGATGAACTCACAACAAACCGAGTATTGGGGATAGGTGGTAAGCTTGTAAAAACACGGAGAAATTGAACGCTTCCTCAGATCACATTACCTCTAGCAAGAGCAAGAAGAAGCGTGTTGTACGTCACTTGTGTGAGCTGGATCCCCTTATGGCGCAACTCTTGATAAAGCATCTGAGCACGCTGCAAACCAGGTCCACCGAACTGTTCCAACAAGTGCTCAGTAGGAAGGGCCCGTTGAAGCATTGAACTGAAGGGTGAAACAGCACAATACCAGCATTTTTTAGGTTTGTCCAAGTTACAAAGGAGCCAAAAGTTTATGTGGTAGAAAAGACCTTGATTTTGATAACACAGGTGGTTCTTGGTAATGTGGTGAAATATTGGTAGCTCGGATGAGTTTATTGGTCGTTGATCGGGTGGCTTTTGATCTGTTCGCCGAGCTTGGCAATTGGCTTGCAAATGTTTCATCACCATATGAGGAGACGTCATCAGTGCGCAGTTGGGCGGGTACTGCACACTGATGATGTCTCCTCATATGGTGAGGAAACATTTGCAAGCCAATTGCCAAGCTCGGCGAACAGATCAAAAGCCACCCGATCAACGACCAACAGGTGGTTCTGAAAAATCCACTCCACTATAACAGGTTGCTACTAGTGTAAGCAGGAAAGCCCTTCGCCGCGGAGTTGTTTATTAGAAAACACCAACTAAACAGTTACAAGCTACCGGATAGGAGAGTAAACTTCTCATATGCGACTTGTTTCATTTTCAATGGATATCTGTATTCTTCTCGAACGAGCCTTCTTGAACTTTTCTGTATATTCATTGACCATCACGGAATTGTAAACGAATGCTGCAAAGAAGCTCCACAAATTCCGTATTAAACCCAACTTTCCAATAGACGCGATGCGTAGTTACGAGGAAGGAGACTACTCGCATGCCCCACCAGTAGTATCCACCGTTAAACTAGTACTAGGAATGGTTGGGCAAAGAGCAGTCAGTTGTATGCACCAGCTATCTCCTCACATTGCATCTTTCATTTATTAAGCACCGACGATCTAGCTCCGATGTTCGGGATTTAGTTCATGAATAAGCAGTCCCCAGTTCAAGACCTGGAGACTATTGGACAGGTTCAAAAATGGATAATAATGGGACAACCGAAGAGAAGCAAATCTACTTGTCCACAAGGTCTATGCAACAGAGGAGTTTTTAACATCCGTACTCTATGTCGAATTGGCAAACAGACAATCCTTCTTGAAACCTTGTACTCCCCTAAAATTTATGTATATGCGCATACAACACCCAAGCGAGGTTATATATCTCATAAAGCCAAGGACAAACTCAGATCCTTTACATTTCTCCCGCTGTGTGTCCTGTGATACAGAAGCGACGACCCGTGGGATATATAGCCTGGCAGTTGCACTCAGCCCCTAAGCTGAACGCGCTTTGATGAACTGGATCCCAGCGAACGACCATCTCTGCGCCGTCCCGATATCCAGTTCATTCAAGCGCAATGCCTTCCGACATGAATAGGGTGCCTCTTTGTAGTGTCAGCGTATGCCCCAAAGGAACGCGGTTCTGAAGCTGAGGAGAATATTTAAATCGAGAGCTATCCGGGCTCATTCATCGAGCAAGAAGCACTGACAATGCCATCCATGCAGGCGATTTGAACGTCGTCTAAGCTCCTTGGAATCACATCTGGGTGGTCGATTCGGTGTCGACGCTCGTCACACAGACAACGGAAAGCGACAGTTCGTTGTGTACTGATCATGAACTGTCTCCGGCCAGAACGAAATTGCAGCATAAACGTTTGCATCGCATAACCTGGAGACCACAAACTGCAAACCAACCGTGGGTCCCATTAGATAACGTGGTCCGCAGCCACCGGTTCAGGGCCACAGTTCAAGACTACCGCTCCTTCTGGGACACAAAATTTGATTCCGATCACGCCATGGTGCGTGCAATCCTGACAGTTCGTATCCCTTCAGGCCCTCGCAATTCAACAAGAACGCCAATCCACCATCTTGGAAGAACTAACATAGCTCAACAGTATCGATCTGAGCTAACTCAACAACTCCATGCAATAGATCAATACTGCAATGGTAGTGAGAACGCGGACGAGGCATTGCAAAATGTGAAATGAGCTGTGCTAGCGACATTCAGTGCTTTTCACCCGATTTGTTCACAAGATCGTTGAATGTCGTTGAAATCGCTACCCATGATTGATTTTTTCATCCGATTCGTTCACAAGATCGTTGAATGTCGTCGAAATCGCTACCCATGATTGATACTAGAAAATTTATACCAGCACGCAACGAGAACGATGGCGCACGCAAATCGCTCAAGCGATCCAAAGGAAAGAACAAGAGATCTGGTGGACATAGAAAGCTTGGGAGATGGAAGAGGCCTTTGCTACCGGAAGAAACTGTGCCTTATATCAACTGACCCTAGAAAAGCAACGGCCAGCAAAACGATAAGTGAAAAATGCGGCCCATTAATTCGCTCGCATAGACATCAACTGGAGAGATAGGCCGAACACTTCGAAGAACAATTTGGCTCGTCTCCTATAACACAGCCTCTTGGAATATGTATACGGGTGAACGGAATGTAAACCCTGACCGTTAGTCGGAAGAAATAAAGTACGAAATATTCGTACAGAAACGTGAAAAGGTACCAGGATCGGATGGTCTCTGTCCAGCCCTCTTCAAGGAAGGTAAGGAACCTCCAGTGACTCATCTAACAAGGCTTATTGGTGCGATATGGAACGAAAAAGCTGCCTGCAAAATGAGGTATGTAGACAGTCAGCCCTATCATCGAAACAGGCACGCGGCGTTGTGTGAAAACCACCGAGGCACTAGTCTGGTAGCTGTCATCGAAAGTGCTCCCTAGTCTTATACTTCGAAGGTTGACTGAACACAGTGGGATACAAATTCGTGAAAACCAAACTGAGTTCCGTCCTGTAAGAGGATGTATCGATTAAATATTCACCATCCGACAGATCCTGGAGCAGGGCCACTACCTTCGGCATCCAACAATGGTTGTGTCCCTTGACTTCAAAGCTGCCTTTGATTCTGTGGACCGTCAGGCACTATGGCAGTGTCTAAGGAGTAAACGTGTTTCTCATAAATTTTTGACCCGCCTTAAGGCACTGTATGCCGACCTCCGCGGACGTGTGAAGGTCCACGGGAAGCTCTTCAACTTCCTTATTGATACGAATATGGAAGACTCACTATCAGCCTCTAATGCCTGTGGGGTCGAAGTGCTCCCGAGGCGTTCGCCCACAGGTATCGAGTACGCAGACGACACAGCTCTTGTTGGACCTGATATCGTGGTAATGCAAACAATATTAAATAATCTGAGCAATTCTGCCTGACGGCTTGGCATGCGCTTCACACCTGCAAAGTGTAAAGTGCTACTGCTCGAACCGTAACCTCATGCCTGCGGATGGGCCGATTGAGATACTGGACAAATTTGTCTACCCGGGTGGCTGTTTCAGTCCCAGTGGTTTAACCATCCGGATTGGGAAGGCAAGAGCAGCTTTTGTGAAGTTGTATCACTTGTGGCGTAGGCGTCAAGGGTCGAGTTTACAATGCCACGGTGCGCTCCAAGTTACTATACGGATCAGAAACCTGGTCACTGCGCGCCGATGACGTCAAAAGACTTTCAGTGTTTGAGCATCGATGACTTCGGACAGTCTCATGGGAACACCGGATCAGTAATGTCGAACGGGAGGGAAAAGTTGCCCACGATAGATAAACCGATTATACTCCACAAGTTGCGCTGACTTAGCCACGTGCTTCGTATACCAGTCCACCGACTTCCTCGAACGGTCTCCCTTGATGGGGACCCCGAGACGGGACACACCAGTGTTTAAAGACATTGTCGGACAGCCCGGTCTCACCCTCAATGGCACTCGTGCAACCAAGCTATTGCCTTCAATTCATGGCTCCTTCCGAATCTCCCAAATTAAAAGTTCACTGAAAACCCTGTAGTTAGGCATCGATTATATCAGCTACCACCTCCAGTGCGCAACTACCTACCTCATTTCCACATATCGTCAGTGAACGGAATGTGGCAGCTATAACCACTGTACGACAAGTACGAGGTTCCTACAGCTGATAACGATGATGATGTCCAAATGCACCCGGTCAACTGGCTGTCCAAATGATCGCACAAGAGTTCAGTTCGACTCCGTATGGTTACAGCAGCTGGAGACCAATGAGTGTTTTGTTAAAAGAAGCATGTACTGCCAACCGCGGAAACCCACGCAGACTCCGAAATATGTGGTTGGCTATTGGATACGATGCGAGCCAGAAAAACAGCAAGCAAGAAGACAAATGAGGATACTTTCGTGGGGAACACGTACTTTTTGCGCCGTCGCAATTCAGATAATCGTCCATCAGTACACACATGGAAAGTAGGCTCATTCTCACGAAACCATACGCTGGCGTCCTCAGCACAAGCACTAGAAGAGAAGGCGGGAAGGCGGTACAGTTTCAAGTAAATAGTGAACTAAAAGCGAATGACTTGAAGCGACGAATAAACCTTGAACTTGATCCAAAAGTTAAGTATTACGCTAAACGATGCGCCGGAAAACTGTCAGAAGTATTTCAACCAGTCACGTCAAGTCAACTTTTATGCAGCCAAAGGTAGATTTTCGGCGAACAAACCTACACGGGTGTCACATGTTAATGATAAGAAATTCGATATTCGTTGCAATCTTCGTGTAAATTACACGCCAGTGACGAATACTGCAAAATACACCAGTAACATTCGCGAAAGTCAAGCTCTTGGCACTAAAATAACAGTTCAAGAAGGCAAACGTTTTCCATATGATTCGTCTTCGAAGCGTAGGCGATTGCTCACAAAAATTAGATATAAATCGTTCAACTGTAACACCCTTCCGGTGCCTATCTGCCATGCTACTCGAAGGAAGCACGAGGGCTGGGATACTGTCAGGTTGCCAAAGCCTAGACAGGGTCGGGTTCGAACCACAGACCTACCGATCAGTAAGATCGGGCTCTAACCACTTGAGCCCCGATTGCTCATAATTAGCGGAATGTACATGCATTAAGTAGCTGAAACTTTGTCATCCTGCAATAGAAACTAGAAAGTCAAGGACGTGGCAAGGACGGTCACAACCCACCTAATCGATTCAAATTACTGGGTCAATCCGGCCAAATAAGCCGGTGCCACCTAGTCGTTCCCAGGTCACTCGCCAAAACGCTCACAACTGTTGAAAAGGTAGCTAATAAGGCAAGTCAACCCTCCTTGCGTCTTCAAAGGAAGCTGTCAACCCATCGTTCATCCCCGATCTAATCCAAGCTACCGATATAACGGAACTCGTATTTTGACGCCTTTGGAAGGCATTTTTTCACCCTCGTGACCATGTCTCACCCATTTTCATGACTTTACTTGCCTGAGAAGTTGTCTAAAAAATTGTGCACAAAATGACCTACTGATGAACATTTGTCCTACAAACGAAGCGGGGGCTTACACTGTTGGATAAAAGACTAGCGATCAGTCTCATGAAGCAACAAAAAGACACATTGTGAATGTCAGACCACTGCAGACGAGACGGAGGAGCGGAAACCGCACACTAACATTTCGTGGGTAAACACTCTTGCTCCATACAGTGAGGCTCACGCAGAAGTATGAGGGGGAACATAGGACGTACCGAAACAATCGCGAAAAGGTTGCCTGCGTTGGAGAAATTCCCAGTTCCTTCAATTTTTGGTACACTTTGAAGGCATCTGCACTACGACCACTATTCGCTAGCGCGTCCAGCAACCCGTGTGCGTCAAATCGTGAAGGCATCACACGCTCTTCGGTGAGCATAATGTCGAAAAATTGCTGGTCATAAAAAAATTCGGAAAGCATTGCAAGATAAGGTCTAGATCATCCGTGGTGGAAAAAACTATCCCAATCCACTGGTAGCATATAGTATAATCGCTTGTAATCGAAGGACGCTATTAAGCATTGCAGTAAGAAATATGAACCAAAAGCTACCTTCTAGCGACGAGACCGCTGGAATAAGATGAAACTAGTTTATACATTGAATATGGATCTAATAACAGAGAATAGCAACGGATTTCTTTTAGGAAAACCACTTCCAGTTTACAGCTAATTAGTCTAGCTTTGGGAGTTCAGCCCCGAATCATGGTAACAAGAGGTACAAAAAGCCACTGTCAAATGGGTTTGACTGAAGTCAGGGCAAAAAAGCTGGCTGATAAGTACACCACAAAGGTAGAACAAAAGGTCACCCCACAGGGGACCAAACAGAGGCCGTGACCAGTAATTACGCTTGAACGTAACCGGGCAATTCCTACTTACTCTTCTCACTAAGGCCATGGTAAGAGGAGTGGTTGAAATAACCGTTTTTTGCACAACCCAGACCCCAAAACACCGACTGTAGTGGCTCCATCCGTTGTCAGGATATTTTTAAAGAATCCTTTACAGTAGTGTTTTCATACTGAATGCGATTCGGTCAGGTCTGCCGCCTGGAGGGAAAATCAGAATAGGCACATCCGATGTACAAATCCCTGCCTCTCCTCTCGCTTATAAAGCTATTAAAAACGGCTGAATGGCAGTTCCTGGACAGCGGCTATCTCAACGACGCACCAACAAACAACTATCAAAAGTGTCCAATAGAACGCAGTCGACCACCTATGCCGCTTCGCGTTCGTTTCTCAGGTTCAGTTTCCCTGTTTTCACTCCACCTTTATTGTGCTGTCTCTGACACAGACAGACCAACATGCTGCTCTGGCACCTTGAAGATGGATATTTGTTGCGCTTCCAAAACTCGAATAAGAGATCCATGTACGGTAATGAGCTTATGACAACTTCGTTGACTAGAATCTACCACCTAAGAACTTCACCCGTTTAAGCCTCTTACGACGAAATCGTTACAAGCCCCAGCTCTCGAGTTGAGTGTTCGTCACCCCCGTCGGTTCAGTTCAGTCGGTCGGTGGACTGAGTTCAGTGTCGCACTCGGGTTCAGCTAGTCCAACCAGAGGATGAATTGACGGGGTCCAGCGGAACCGTTCTTCTGAGTGTTCATACTATCATTCAAGAGGTTTTTTCTACAAACGGACTGGGGCTCCTCCCTCGTCGGACAAGTTAGTCGGATTATATTCAATTCAATTCAATGTATCAGTTATAAATCGTGTGCCATAGGCATATTGGTCCCAGATGCTATAGTTTCTATCACCGGAAAACGGGAAAGTGGAATACAAAACCATACCTTGGAGGTAAAGGCATGTCCAGTTTGTTCGAATACTGGGTAGCTAAGCATTGAGGGCGATAGCTTTGATGCACTTGTGCCACTGACTGCGCGATTGGGCCATTCCCGCGAACGTCAATAACCACTGGTTATTTGAGTCCTTGGGTCCCCATCCAGGGAGGTAGTTGCTCACCCGACTAAGTTTACTGGTTAGTTTTTTCGTACTTCGTTGCCAGGCCATACTTGTCTACCTCTCGGTCGTTTCCACTAAGCACAGTACTGGGCGAGGTATACGATCTTCTGGCATGCAGAGTACATGACACAACCAGCGCAACCTATGAAGCATGAGTAATTCATCTGACGCGGGAGAGTTCTTCCTTCCTAAGACCATTTGGCGTACCTCAGCATTACTAATCCGATGTTCTCACTAGACCTGATCAATTATTCGGAGACACCGACGATCAAACACTGACATCTTCCACATGTCCTCTGCGCGTGGGGGGCACGTCTGTGATCCGTAAAGCAGTAAGGATGGCAACCCCGCAGGGTGAACTCTTCCCTTGACGACAAACTTACGTCACGCCGGCGCCATAGGTGTCGGAAGTTAGCAAAATCTACCCTGGCCTTTCCGATTCGAGAAGTAATCTCATCTCCAGCCAATCCACCGGAACTCATACGGCTGCCCGGGCAAACAAATTTATCTACCAAGTCGATTGGCTCACGTGCAAGTATGAAGTGTGGGTTCGATCCCACTCAGTCTTATAGCAGCACTTTACACTTAGCAGGTGTGAAGCGCATGCCAAACCGTGCGGCAAAGTTATCTAGGATATTTAAAATCGTTTGCATTTGGGAAGGATCTGAACCACGGAGAGCAATATCGTCTGCATACTCGATGTCTGTAAGGGAACGTGCACCTGCAACAACCTGCCGATGCAAAGCTGCCAGGCCACTCTTCCACAAAGACGTCAGTTTGAAAACCGTTGTAACAAAACTATTGGGATTACTGATTGTTCGTCGTCTCAGAGCTGCATGCTTCACAATGACATGTTAGCATCAAATGGAATTTCAACCAAGGTAGATCTGCGTCGGCAGTCCATTGTTAGAGCAACGATATACATATAGACAACCCAGAATGTTGGTTTTCGTTGATTTTTAGGGTGTTCGAGCCTGTCAATCGGTCAGAGTTGTTCGCCACTCTTGCTTAACAGACGTTTGCTTGCCCAGACACTTGTCAGCTTAATCGGGTCCCTATATTATCATACTTCTTGACACATGAGAGCAGACCATGAGCTCTCTTTTAGTTTCCCTGCAAAGTGGTACCTGACTAGGAAGTTCACTATCTCCATTCTTCTTCAAATTCATCGTCAATGAAAAGATTAGGTGAACGCTGGAAGGTCAACCAAATCCCGGCGCTCAAATCGATACTGGTAAGCACCTTGTCTATCTGCAGTACGCAGACGACACCGTCCTCATGTTTGCAAAAAAACCTAACCTCTGTTGAATAAAGTGACCATCTTACCATCTTTCGGCATGCGGCTTGCGACTTCGTGCGATGTCACACTTTACGACATACAGCCTCTGAACGTGCAAAGCAAAGAGAAGTATTCGATGCTGTGGAGAACCCCAAATACGCCGGTAGTTGCATTTACCCCAACAGAATTGCATTTGATAAAGTCAGTGCAGGAATAGCGAGGGCTAATTTGTCACTTATGTCGTCCAAAAGGTAAATCAAAGGGTCTCAAGGGTTGCGTACATTGGGCTACAGTAAGTGGTGTACCACTATGCGGTTGCGAGACACGGCCTCTATGGGTAGATTATGTGAGGCACCTTCAGATTTTTCAGCATCGGTGTTTCAGAGTCGTTGCTAGTGTCATATGGCGTCAAAGGGTTCACATAAAGCAGTTTGAAAACGGGTATTTAGTTGTGCAGCAGGCACTTCGGTTGTGGAAGGCATCCAGTAGTGGCTCGGCTATGTGCGATGCACCGTCTACCTAGATGAGTGTTGTTTTTCGAGCCTTCTTCAGAATGGAACAAATCACGAAGTGGACAATGCGTGATCCAACAGGAGGACGTGAAAAAGATTACGTAGAGTTTGAGTGTTGTCGGTCCGGTCTGTCTTTCAGGATGGGCTATCCGCGATACCCCCTGAGCTTGGCTGGAGACATTGCCAAGAATGGCGGCTAATCGACGTCAGTGGCGTTCGTGCTGTCAGTTTCTTTTCAGATTATCTGAGTGAGCCTTTAGAGCTGTAGGTAGCTCAGAATGCTAACGACAGGCCAGCACTCAATCTCCTTTCCACTCACGCTTTTCTCTTGATTTCACCCTAAGGATTCAAAAAGAATGGGACAGACTTTGTGGTTGTACGGTAGTGACGCATCTGAAAAAAACTGATATTGCTGTCTCTGACAATGATAACCAAACCTGACCACTGCTTCCAGAAACACCGATGGTCAAATATCGAGAATTTTCGTATATCCTCTGCACACAGAGGCCGAATTCCGAATCCATAAAGGCTTGGGTTTGATCCTGAATCATCTTTCAGTGGCAATTTACACCCCGCAGGTGTGAAGCACATACCAAACCGTGCGGTTAGGTTGAGTAAGATGACTTGCACGTGTGAAGAATCGAAACTTAAAAGAGCGATATCGTCCGCATACTCACTGCCTTTGAAGAAACGGGAATATTTCGATCCCCAAATAGGCAGAAAATCAATAACAGTTGAAGGAGACTGATGAGATACGCTGACTTTGCGTGGCGAGCTCAGGTAATCGCTTGTTGGATACCCGTAAGCTCCCACAGGAGTTCGCATACAGAGGCCTCATAAGGCGTGGAAGTTCAGAACTGGCACTTTTATTCGTCATAGTCTATGACGACCAAAGAAGTCAAAAGCAGTCCTTAAAGTAAAGTTACAGTCAGTTCATCCGCGGTGAGGGCAGAGCCTACTTTGAGTCTCAATAATCTGTCTCTTGCGACAGTAGATCAAGCTGTGTGAAATAATGTCAGAGTACATTAGATGTATATGCATCACCAACTGTAGCTCTGATTCGGCAACAGGTACTTTTCATCGGAAACAAACCACTCTCCCAGTTACCACGATAAATTCAGATATTCTCCCAGTCACTGGTGATCTCAGTACACAAGTAAGACGTTTCGGTTCATCAGAGGCGCGACTTGATGGCCTATCCAGCTTGGACCTAAGACACAAGGACAACGGAAACTGTTTAGTTCCATTACTACCTCTCTACACCGCACAAAGGAGATTGAGTCTCACGTTGCATGTAGCAAGTGAGTAAGTTAATATCATTGTGACAACAGAATACTATCACAGTCCACATCAACGTGGCTAATATGAAACCAATAACCTATTACCTCGGTGTATTTGAATATGTAAATAAAACTGTTAAGATATAGGATCCCGGGAGCTACATGCAGTACGATGATCCACTAGACAGAAAAACAGTTCAGTCTTTGAAAGGAAATCATCTGATCATATGGAGTGCGCTGAAATAAATGTAAACTTACCGAACAAGCTGCTTCTACGTTCCCTTCCTTACAGTACTTTGCGAGCAGCTGACTGTTACGTTGATAACGTGGATGATCTCGACTGCGATGCAAGCCCTGTTCCCTCACCTGGTCCTCCAATGGTTCGTGCAAAATTTCATCAGTGATTTTCATGTGTGCAACAGCGCGTCCCTTCAATGAGGAGTGTAGTGGAAAATGACCTGAATCAGCTGAAATCCAAAACAGATAGAAGCTCCATAGACACCATCCACATGTAACAGGGAGGAATATGTTTGTGAGTTGATAAGGCCTGAACAGATCTTCACTTCAGGGTAACGTACTAGCGAGCCACCACTACGCAAACATTATCGCGCGCCATCTGACGACGGGTGTGGAGAGTAGTCTATCAAGCTGCCGGCCGAATACAGTCGGGTCAAACGGTAAGCAGTGAGTCCGAGGAAAACACCACGCTAACGATATCGGCAAGGGGCACAAACAAACACTGGCTGGCAAGGAGAAGCTGCATGCGAGTGTTGCTTGCCTGGTGTGGAACGACCGAACAAGGGTACTGATGGATAGATCGCTTCAATGTCAGGATGCCGCTTATTAGCACCCGAAAAATACGACCAGTCTCGCAACGTGATCATTATCTACTTTGTCCTAATTGAGAATAACGCGGTGGAAAAGCCGGGGTAGACTGCATGGTGTTGACGTTCAACGCTTGCAGTATAACTTATGGACTAAGTACGTGACAATCAACCTCCGTATCAGCGTCTTTCCCATTAAATTAGTTTGGAGACCCTTTTCATATTATGAGATGGAAAAATAACACACTTATGGCGGTGAGATGATTGAGATCTCCACTTTCCATCCGTTCATCAGTGTCATGAGCAGTGATGGAAACTTCGCGGTGTGTCACACTTTAATTAAGGCACATTTCGTGGTCGGTAGAACCCGAAACACTGATCCGAAGAAAAACTGGCAAAAACAACCGAGTGTGGGGCACACCAGCAAGCTTTCCGCGAGAGTAAAGTGACACATTAGGAATGACACCTGATGACCCAAGAATTAATCGGCATCCCTGAAGTAGTTCGGGGATATGAAAATCTGGTACTTACCTCTATTTAACCCCAAATATGTGAATAGCACTTCAGTTCCGAAAAGCGAAAAGGTGGCATTAGACTATGCCACAATTGGGGTGACTCCCGGAAGAGTTTGGAAGAAACATGCCTGCCCTAATTCAGTGCAACCGGTAGTGTGGACTTAACTGATATCCGAAGTTTTCCCCCCAACCAGAGTGCGCCTCAACAATAAGTAATAGCACCTAGTTGTTCGCTGGAACCACTTGGAGAACTGCAGAAGCTGATTATAACCCTTCGGCCTTCACGTAACTATTCAGAACGTAACTTAATAAAATAAACTCAGAATAAATAGAAAAACGTTCATGTTAAACCTACCTTGCGCTGACAAAACACCAAACTGGTCCGCGATAGGCAACTTCGACAAATCGACGGGTTGTTGAACAGACGCCGGTGGACGATCGTTACCGCGCGTGCTCTTTTTGATGGCATAAAACCGTTGAGAACCGATGGATGTTCCACAAAAACGAGCTCGATATTTGACAATATAGCACATCACACTGCATCGGTGGGGTTGTGGGAAACGTCGTAAGAGTTTAAGCATCCAGGAAGCTGAAAGAAAGATGGATCTGTTGCGCAGGACCGACTTCGTAACAGCGAAAATTGAACGGGATAAAAAGAAAGGTGTGACATGGTTGCACACAGTGCACCTTAAAAGGAGCGGCGGTGCGGGGGTCTCAAAAAAGGCTCAAAAGGGTCTCAAAAGAGTGTGACCCTTCGTTGTTAGCAGAAACCGGCAGTCAAATGTGTATTGTAGAGGACCTAATAATAAAGTCAGAGGCCCGGAAATTTACTGCATGTTTAAGGTCACACAGAAAGCCGTCACCATGACGTGGCCACTTCAGTGCTGCAATGATCTTGCGGCTAAGTTGGCTTGAACTCAGCTCCTCAACGCCCAATCACACCAAGAAGTTCGACCAGGAGCAGCCCGACGAACGGTGAGTTCCCGCACGGCGAGGAATCGTATCACAAGGTGGCGCCGAAGGAAAAGTCATATTGTCTTAGAGTGTGAAGACAGTTGGGTGATTCACTCAGACGGCCAACATATCCAAATCCATGGAAGCAGTGATGCTGCTGTCTCCCGGGGGATGATGGGTTTGGTAAAGGCTGACCCAGAAACCGAACAGTAAGACTGCCCATGACTGACCATGACTACCGGCACATTACTAAATACGGTTGAAATAATCCTAAAAATGCAGATTATAGTGACCTCCGAAGGGTACCCGTGTGTGCAGCCGCAGTAGGAGTCAATCAACCATGCCTTGCTACTGAGTCACTGAGTCTGGAAACCCTACCCACCACTGCTTCGGGGTTCAATTTTCTGAGAAAGTGTTCAGGAAAATGCTGCGCGAAAACCGCCTTACTGCTCGCAGCTAGACGCTGCAACAGCTGTAGTATACAGTGTCTGTCATTTTGCTTGATTCATATGTAAGTATTGGTGATGTACAACCTTGCTTACTGGGCTTTGGCTCATGAGCTTTATTTCTGTTTTCCATCCACAGAAATTGTCGTGAACACCTGCCTTCGGAGAATCACTGTCCCCTGGCACTTCCATGGCATGCATATTACATAAGTGGCGACCACGCCAGGAGCTTTATTTCTTCCATCCACAGAAATTGTCGTGAACACCTGCCTTCGGAGAATCACTGTCCCCTGGCACTTCCATGGCATGCATATTACATACATTATGATAGATTCCGAAGATGGTCTGAAATGTTTTGATACCAGAGTTAGCATGTGAGATGCGCGAATGATCGCTGCAAGCGCGAGCGAATTCAGAAGAGAGTCGATGCATTTGATCACGTTTGTATTGCGTGAATTTTTGTACAAGTGCGCGTTTTTGTAGTTTTTCGAAGATTA